AATAACGAACTGTTTCATTTTAAAAGTTATGTAACAGGATATTGCTGTTGCTGCAATATGTTCAGTTGGTAAATGTGAGGGAGCACGAGCTGAAGCCAAAGTTTTAGGGCCGGTTTCTTTTTATTTTTTAGAGGTGATATAATAAAAAATTGATAGATTATATTTATCAATCACCAGCCAATTACATTGAGTACTTGCGATCAATGATTTATTAAATAATCTATTGGTTCTGATTGGCTAAAAATATAATCGCTCAATTTTATTACATTATAGATGCTACAATCTCTAGAAAATAAAAAAGTATTTGAATGTTCATATGCAAAGAATAACCAATGCTAATCATCTTTTAGTTTTAATTATGTCACAATGCACGCAACTATTTCATTTATTTTCCCCCCAACCCAATACAAGATTGCAACATCAACCAAGATCTTAAACTGATGGGTTTTGGGACAGATGTACAGATGTTTTCCATTTTTAGTATATGGAGAGGTTATAATTCTTTTTTGAGACATTTTCGCGTACTCGTACCACTTTTCGCACCGATTAGAAATGCATCCAATTCATTTCAAATAGACACAAAATTAATTAGTACCATCAAAAAGTGAAGTTGATCATCATCGAATCATCGACCGAATTATACTGTATATTTAATTAAATAAAATATTCCTTTATATCTCAAAAAAGGAAGAGAAAGAGAAATAAAAAAAATAAGGTTTCAATATTTCATTTTTATTATAATTCATTAACTTTATTAATTTGGATCCTTATAACAGTATAGACTAGCCTACTCTCAATTCTAAAAATTCGTTTAATATCAAAGTTACACGGCGTGTAACGTTTCAGATAATAGAACAGACACTACATAAACTTTAATATTTTACGCTACGATCTAAATTTCTCTTTGTAATAGTTGTCAAATATTCTTGATAGTTCTAAAACAATTAACGGAACTTTTTGAAAATAGAACAAAATAATTTGATTTAGGTCAATTAGAGTGATAAACTCATTTGAATTTACGGTATTTAATACTTTTTTTTAAAAAAATATAGTATGTCGAGATAATAATAATGACAGAAATATGTCTTTTTTTGAATCGGATATTTTTTATTAATTTTTCATTCAATATAAATTGGTGGTAGAAGTAACATAGGAAAGGTAAAATGGACTTTGAATCGTTCCACTACGTTAAAATTTTTGATCTCTTCAAAAAAAAAATAAAATAAAATAATGTATTTTCTCTTTGTACAAAAAAAAATTATTAATAATTAGCAATTGAAAGCGTAGCAATAATTCCCTTATCCTTTAAAAAAATAGCGAGATTCTATATATAAGATTAATTCCTTCATCAGTGATTAAAAGATTATAGAAAAAAAAATTCGTCAATTTAATAATCAAAGTTGATAATAGAAATATGAAGTTTCAAAAATTCAAAATAATTTACGAGTTTAACAGCATAACCTCTTGAAAAAAGCGAGTACATTGGGGAGTTTGTCAGGGAGTGCGTCGAGATGGCGGTTGGGAGGTATTTAATATAGATTATTAATTGAAGTAGTACTTGACTGTTTGATGGGTTCATCTAAAAAAAAAAATAATAATAATAAAAATGTCGATCAAACGAGACAAAAGGGACGAAGTTTTATTAATAAGTATAACTCTATATAATATACCATGTATTATGGGTTAGGCAAAACAACTTTTTCATTAAATAAGTGTATAATTTTAAAAATTAATATTATCAATATGAATATCAGTGAGCAATTCGGCTTCAGTCCACAAGTTTCAAATTTCGATACTATCAATAAAGACTTTCATCAGAATACAAATTCATTATTCTGGCGTAAAAAAAAAAATCACAACTTACATTTTATAATAACGTAAATAGTCAACGCAATTGCGACTCCCACAAAGACAACTGATGTAAAGGAGTTTCCTGTTTTATTATTTAGTCTTCGTAGTTTTCTTGTTCTTCTGCGGATGCGTGGCCTCCTTCGAATTGGAGGTGGTCTACGATCGGCTTCTTGACCGACAGGTGGTAATCTACCGCGAGTCATCTAAAAAAAAAAAAAGTCAAGTTTAGCGATAAAAAATATAAAAGAATATAAATATGTAATTATAAAATAGGAATCGAATAGTTTTTATATTTTTATACATACTTCAAACAAGAAAATTATAAAATAAAAAAAAAAGACAAGGGAAAAAAATTTATTTCTATCAGGCAGATAGTTTTTATACGACCTTTTTTTTGTACAATCAGCACGTGTAGCATGTTTCATGATTCATCTAAGTCAATTTACTAAAAAAGTCTAGGGATGTCAAGGCGTCTATATGTAACGTATAAAAGTATTCTTTTGATTGAACATAATAAGCGTAAATTAAATATTTTTCTAGTAGTACTTTGTATTTCCATATATTTATCAATTATTCTAATTTGCTTATCCTTTTTCACGAGAAAAGAAAGCTTACGTTACTGCTTATAATGGGCTAGACATTAAAGACTTATTCAAGTTCAACAAAATTAAAAAAATCTTATAATATATTCATGTAAACTCAGGCAACAAAATAATATGATATTTTTGACATAGCCATTTGGCAAGTTTATGGTGGCAACCATTATCAAAACAACAGATATTTTATGTATACGAAGCATGATCTGCGAAATTTGTATCGTTTCATTTCCATTCAATAGCTATTCCACTTGGATCATGACCAGACATGAATGTACATACGCCTGGATCCAGAGCAATCACTCCTTCATATTAAATTATTAATTTAATGAATAAATTAATTTTATTAAAGTTTTATTCTTTAAAATTATTGTTTACTGATATAAACTTTTCTTGCACTCCTAAAATAAAGGAACTTAGTTTTCAGTCAATAATTCAAGTGGTTTAGGTATGCAAAGGTAAAATTCTCCAAGGCAATTTATAACAAGATGACTAGCATAATCAAGTTGATTAAAGAGATTCTACTGACTTGATTTTGTGAAGAAATGCTTATTCACCGGTACTTGTTCCAATGTTTAACAAATATTGAAATTGATTATTAAGAATCCTTTTTAGAACGGAACTTCATCTTGAATTTTTTATGATTTGTAGCAATATCCTTTAAGCAAGTCATTTATAACTTCATCTTGTATATTATAAGGAGTTTCTATAACCCACTTAAGTTTTGAATCATTCTTAAAGTTTACGGCATTAGACATCATGCTCACAAATCCTTTTTGTTTTGATTGATACCTTCTTTTTCGACTGTGAAAAGGCATCATTTATACGTCCGGCATGCTGTCCCTATCTATTGTCTGAGTTTCAACTACTCTTCTTATGTAAGAAAGAGTTAAATACATTGTGTTTTACCTGCTTGAATCTTGGAACTCTTGATCTTCTTAGACTTGGACAGCTTCTCATCATCATCTGTGGTTAACGGCTGAATGTATTCCATTATGTCTTGCCACAAATGCTGTAATGATTGAGTAAGTTCTTTGCAAGCTCTCCGTATTCATTACTCTTAGCATTAATATCTGTACCGAATACCAAGAGCTGAACCATATTCTTCTCAAAGATCTATTCCACAAGCTCAGATCCAAAATGACATAATGGTCCTAATAAAAAAAGTTAGTAAAATAATAAATCAATAAAAATAAAAACAAATAAAATTAAACTCAACATTTCGGTTAACCAACACTTTCTACTGTGTCTGTTGGTTGCAGTGATGGCAAATGACCAGGTCATTTGACCATTTTAAAATGACCCTCGAATGACTTTCGAATGACCACGTCATTTTGGTCATTTA